CTGACTGCAGAACAGATAATATTAACCCTTACCCTATAGGCCTTAAGGTAGGGGTGTGTGTGTAAGAGGGTGGGAGGGGTGAAGGAGGGAAGGAGGAGAGAAAATGAGAATGAATGAATCGAGTAAATAAAATGTACAAGCTGTCCTCTTCTTTAAAAAGACCCTGCTTCTTGACACAGAAATCTTAGATTTCTCCTGACGTAAAGATACAGAAGCTTTTTGTAATGTAAGCTAATGTATCCACTAGAGAAATAATGGCATTGTTGGAAGGATTTAGATGACAGGAAAATAAAGATACTTTATTAATTAACTCTTCTAGTTTCCTTGGGGTTTTGCCAGCCTTTTCTGGATTCCAGACAAATCCAAAAACAGATGATTTAAAGGTGGTTTCACTGAAGTGGTGTCACATGATTGGGCGAGTGGTCATTCTTTAGAGGGATAAAAGGTGGTTTTAAAATATGCAGGACTCCATTGTTCAGACAATATAAAACATTTAATCAAAGTACTCTTTTTTTATCCAAATGAACTAAAAAGAAATTCTGTAGCTGGATGCAATTAAATATATCCTGGGTTTCCCTCCTAAAATGGTCAGTTAAATATTCTTTTTTGTGTATCGCTGCTAATGGCATCTGATAAATATATGTATATGAGCTTATCAGAAATTATGTTTGAATCCACACAAAGTTGCATGTTTGAATTGGAAAAAGTAGCTAGAGGTTATCTTCTTTCAGTGTAAAGTTTTCTGAGCCATTTTCAATCACCAGCAAAGAGCCACGTATATAGGTTAAGAATGTGTTTGGCCCCATATATTCATTGACAGATGAATGAATAAAGAACATATGGCATATACCTACATAGAGTTTCTATTTGGGAATACGAAAGAGTTCTGGAGCTAGATGGTGCTGATGGTTGTACAACAGTGTGAATGTACTTAATGCCACTGAATTGCGTATTTTACAGATGGTTAAATGGTAATTTTATATTATTTATGATAGGAATGGATGTAGCCTTAAAAAAGAGAACTGAATTGCAGTTGCTAAAGAGGCAAGTTTTTAAATTTAAAAAATCTCATGTAACAGATGCCTAGGAAGAGACTGGGTCTCGTCAGGCTACCCAGCAGTACCCTTTGGTTTTCAGGTCTGTCCTTTCTCTCCTGCTGTCCTCAGTGGATGGTGTTTTCTTTCTTTCTTTCTTTCTTTTTTTAATTTATCGCACTCAGTGACCATGGATGGGCCTTGATGCTCATGCATGTCACCCCTCATGCTGCTGGGCCTCACGCTTAGCTATGCAAGTGCAGACATGGAAAGTTGGATTTAGTCAGATATGGCAGAGACATTCAACTTAATGCTCTCTGAAGATGCATATATTCCCCTATATCTCACAGACCCCTTGTAGTTGCCTAAGAACATGTAGCTCTTTCTGGCCAGGGACTGGAATGGTAATGGTATTTGTCACTTTCAGGCTAGGGTGGTAAAACAGCCTTCTGGAACAGCAGGGTGGCCTCATTCTGGAGGCCTCATTGTGGAGGGGAAGTATGTGATTCAGGTAGTGCATTTACAGGTAATGGAGTCTCCATCTGCCTAGGTTTGTTCCTTTCACCTAGGTTTGAGTGAGTGTGTGAAGCAGATCTTCAGGTGATCCAGGTATGACCTATAACATTAATAAGAAATATATTTTAAGTAACTGAGATTTGGGCATTGTTTTTGCAGCCCAGTATAGCTATTCTGACTGTTACTCCAGGGTGGGCTTTTGCCAGACATGTTTGATGAAGTGAGAGAAACAGGGAGGCTTTTGGGAGTAAGGGAATGGCTATAAGTTGATGAAGCATGGCATTTTAGTTGGATGAGAATAGAGGTGAGGACCTCAGTGGGGTGAGGAATAGTTAAAAGGCAGCAGAATTAATGGATGGTGGCTTTTGGTGAGATGGAGGGAATGTTGGAGTTGGAGTGCCCAAGGGAGGGAGCCGGAAAGATAGGAGTGAGATGGTTCCAATTGAGATGACTGAGTTGTTCATGTTACTGCTGAAGATGGGTGTGAGTTTATTAGGTAGTGTGGATAACTGGAGGAGAGGATATCAGAATACCAAAAGCCGAGATATTGGGAGAATCATCTGGATAAATATTAAATTCAGCAAGAATGATGACAAGGAGTAGTGTTGGGCAGAGTAAAAGTGAGCTGAGAGTTAAAATCTCTAAGAAATGAATTTGTCTCATTTGTTACATGTCTGAAATGGTCTCTATTCACCCTCACTCTAGAATGGTAGTTTAACTGATTCCAGGTTGGCAGTGTTTTTTTCTGTTTGCTTGTTTTTTTGCGGTAGCATCTTTAAGATACTAGTCTTGTGGCTTCTTTTGTTGCTTGGAGATATTTAGTTAGTTTAATTTAAACATTTTTGAATTTTTTTGTAGGTGAAATTTTTCCCTTTTCTTTTTGGTTAGTTTTTAATATTTTCTTGTTGTCTTTGGTCCAGAGCTTCAAAATGATACAACTAAGGATGGATTTTTATTTTTATTCTTCTTTTTTGGAACTCTATGTGGGTCTTTAGTTTAATAACTTAAATTCTGGAAAATTCTTATTCATTATACAAATATTAGTGCTTTCTTCTCCCTTCTTTCCTCTCTTTCAAAATGCCTGTTAATGCATTGGACATTATCATTTTACACTTTGGGACTCTTAACGCCTCATTTTCTTTCTCTGTATCAGTCTAGGCTCCGTTTTTTCTCTTATTGTACTACAGTTTGCTGTTTCAAGGATAGGCAAACTATGATCTGTGGGCCAAATCTGGTTCATGGCCTGTTTTTGTATAGCTCATGAGCTAAGAATGATTTTTTAGTTTTTAAGACTTGTCGCAAAAAAAAAAATAAGAATATTTGATAGAGAGAAATTACATGTAGCATTCAAAGCCTAAAATACTTACTATTTGGCCTTTTACAAATTTGTTTTCATCCGGTGTCCAATTATTTTCATTTCTTGAAATAGTTTTTTTTTTGTTTCTTGCTATTGCTCATTCTTCCTTATGGTTGTACGTATATGTGTGTTGAAGTTGGGGGTTGGAATTTTTTATTGAGAATTCATCTTCAGTGTAAGTTTTGAAAGTTTAGGGATACCCACAAGAGAAGACCTGTATTATCTTTGAGCATGGGACATGCTGAATTCTCAGCAACAGGAAACATACTGGGAAAGAGTGAGATGGGTCTGGATTGTAAGGGTTAGGATTAATGTGAGACGACCTGGCCATAGAGACTGGCACTCCTAGGGCCGTGGGAATGTCCAGGATTCCTGCTGAATCCAGGGTTTTTACATGAATCCTTGAATTGGTGTACAGAATACACAGTCAGGGCATTGACATCTGGACTGGCCAGAATGACAGTTAAGTGAATACTAAGTAACCAAGCAGGGGTCTGACACTTTAGGGGAGGTCTGACAATATGTAGTAGCACCCCTGCCAACTGCTATGTACTCCGGGCCTACCACAGAGTAGGGACTCAGTAACAGCCTGGCAAGTGAATGAATGGGGAAAGAAATGAAGGTCAGGTCCATATTTTGAGGACTAGTAAGTACCAGGCAGATATCTTCTGCCGGCCTTTGTCCTAGACTAACCAGACAGGAAGAATATGGAGAGATACCTCTAATAGCTGTTTTGTAGATCCTTTGGGATTTTCTACTTAGAAAATTATATCATCTGTGAATAGAGGCAATTTTACTTCTTCCTTTCTGTTTTTTTTGCCTTTTTCCCCCTTGCCTTATTACAACGGCTGAAATCTCCAGTACATTATTGAAGAGAAGTGATGAAAGCAGACATCATTGCCCTGTTTCTGATCCTAGAGAGAAACAATTCAGTGTTTCATCATTAAGTATGATGTAACTGTAGGTGTTCTTGCAGATGTTCTTTATTTCTGGAAATTGATAACTGAACTTAGAGGCCTAATCAGATTCAAGTATAGTTTTTTTGGGCAGTGGGCAAGACTACATAGGTATGATTTTGTCAAGAGATACATAGTGTCTGGTATCTTTCTGTGGTATTAGCAGCCACTGATGATTGCCTCTATCACTTATTACATTATGGGTTACAAATGGTTATATTCTAATTCTATTAATTTCTTTTTCGTTTATTATCTAGGATACTTCTACAGAGAAAATATTCCTTCATAAATTGTTTGGTTACTCTGGCATATAGTTCCTATTGGAAGGACAGAAACATGCTTGCTTGTTTTCTTGTTACCAGTTTTCAGAATAGTGAGTTGGTTTCATAGCATCCTCCAAAGGTGATCAGTGCTTTTAAAAACATAAGTTATGAATTTATTATGTGTTTTAATCTGTTCATTTGTCGTACTTATTGATGCTAAAATTTTTCTTTTTTAAGAACTCAGTATGTTTTACTTCTAGGCGTCTTGCCAGGTCTTTTACAATCCATGTTTTCTGCTAAGATGTAAGAACATACACATACTCTTACTTGGAAAAGTAAGGACAAAAAGAGGATATAATGAAAGGCTTATTTCTAATATTGGTGAATAAAGAGTGGAACTGTTTGCCGTTGAATCACACTTCAGCTGTATGGCAGCATATTCTAAGAAACCTTGGAATTTTGTAGGTAAAACCACAGAAGTCAAACTTTCTTTGATTGGAACCTACAGGAGAATAAACTTGGGTTTCGTGGCTCTTTGTTAAAGATGATCAATGTCACATAATATAAGTCATAATTTTTAAAGTTTCTTGGTAAAAAGATCAATCATTAGAAAGCCCTATATGTATATTCCTGTATAACAACAGAGCAAGGTCTTTCTGACATACATTATGTATTTTTGATGTAATGTTAACTTCATGTGGTTTAGCTTTTTGACTTCAGGCATGTGTATATAAGCTTCTGAACATTCATTTAGTTTATGAAATGCCAATTTCCTAGCAGTTATTATTGTCCTAAAGTGTAACATTTCACTGCCCAATGTCAAGTATGTGCACAAAGGGAATTAAACTTTACGGCGTTTTATAAGCTAAGCACGATGTTTGTGCATAGTAAGTGTCCAGCATGGTTTCTGTTAGCTTTATTGTCATCTTTTTCCCAATTATAAAAACAATATTGCAAAAATTTACTGAATAGGGAATGCCACAAAGTTATACACTGAATTGTGAATGTAGATCTTCCTCGAAGTGTAGATATTCATTCACAAAGAGATTTAGATCCTGAAGGATGTTTGCATTTACACTTTACCAAAAATACAGGGAAGCCATTTCTGGCAAATATCTGGCAATTTCTTAAAAAAAAAAAAAAATCATACTTTTTTTTTTCTCTTTTAGAAGGCCTTTATTTATTCTTTTTACTGAATAGGTGAACAACTACTTCAGAATTCCCATTCTTCTATTGATTCTTTTTCTTTCCTCTCACTTTCCAGTCTTGCTGAATAATTTTCTTAAAACATCCACTTCCAACACTGGAGAGGAATGTAATCTTATTTCTAATTGACTTTATAATATGACATATTTCTAATCTACTATGACTGATGTAATAGTCAAAGGCAGTGTTTTACCTATTCAGCACATTTGTTTCTGGTTGAAGATGGCATTTTTTTCCTTGAAGGTCCTAGTGGCTCCTGTTCTTTTTTATTTTATTATTTTTTTATTATACTTTAAGTTTTGGGGTATATGTGCAGAACGTGCAGTTTTGTTACATAGATATGCACGTGCCATGGTCGTTTGCTCCACCCATCAACCCGTCACCTACATTAGGTATTTCTCCTAACTCTATCCTCCCCTAGCCCCCCACCTCTTGACAGGCCCTGGTGTGTGATTGTCCCCTCCC